AAGAAGAGAAATTATCTTCAAAGCTTGAAAGAATTCAGCTTAGCAAAATAAAGCACCCGGAAGAAGAGAATTTATCTTCGACGGCATACACAATTAAAAAGTGTTTTAATTGTGGAAGCAGAGGACATTTGGCAAGATTCTGCAAAAAGAGAAAAAGCCAGAATATAAAAAAGCCAAAGAAAGCATTTGAACTAGCCACGTTTAGCAACTCTGATGTGAAGAATGATCTATGGGTGGTTGACAGTGGCACATCCCACTGCATCACAAGAGATAAGACAAAATTTATAAAAATGTCTACAAGTTCTCAACATATATCACTTGCCAATGGCTGGAATCTTAAAGCGAAAGGTGAAGGTCTTGCACATTGTCCGTGCATAAACCAGGATATAAAAATGTTGTATGTACCGCAACTAAAGTTTAATTTGCTTTCAGTAAGGGTATTAGATAAATTAGGTTATGTAATTACTTTTAAGGATAATAATTGCATAATTGAAAAAGATAACAAAAGGGTAACTGCAGCTTTAAATGGAACATTATATGTCTTAGATAATAGTAAGAAAGGGGAGGCTCAGACTGTATTTAATAATATAAAGCCTCATGAAAAAAAAAAAAAAAAAAAAAAAAAAAAAAAAAAAAAAAAAAAATTTAAAAACCTTATACCTTCAGATGAGTTATCTGAAGGAATAAGGTTAAAACCTTGTGATAAATATTTGCGTTGTAATGTTTGCTGTGAAGATAAGAGCAAAGTATTGCCTGCAAATAGGCTAAATGGTTTCAAAACAAAAGAACCTTTAGAAGTGGTATTTGCAGACATCATAGGTCCAAAGAAACCCAGTATGGGGGGTGCTAGATATATACTGAGCATTATGGACCATTATTCTAGATATGGGTTTTGCTATTTAATGAAAAGCAAAACTGAAACATATCAACATTTTTTCAATTGGCTTAGGTTTGCTGAAAGAAAGTCTAAACGACAACTGATAACCCTGGTGACAGATAATGGTACGGAATTTATTAATAACAAATTCCAGAACAGACTTAAGATAGCTGGAATAGAGCATAAGAAGTCTGCTCTATACAGGCCAGAACATAACGCTTTTATTGAAAGAAGAGGCCAAACACTACAGGCAATGGTTAGAACAATGTTAAATGATTCTGGGTTACCTGATTCTTTGTGGGGGGAGGCTACAATGTGTGCTAATAACATATTGAACAACGTTGTTAATACAACAACAGGTGAAATACCATTCACCAGGTGGCATGGCAGGAAACCTGACCTAAGTTACCTGCACACATTTGGTGCACCAGCATGGGTGCATATTCCTGCACAACTCAGAAAAAAAGGGCAACATAGAGCTAAAAGATTTTTCTTCGTTGGTTATCAGGCAAACCATAGGGCATATAGATTTTGGGAGAAAGGCACATCTAAAGTGTTATGTAGTGCTAGTGCCCAATTTCTAGAACATGAAGGATGGGAGAAATTAGAACAGGATGCCAATAAAGATGTAATTATTGAATCCTATAGAAATCCCATTAGTTATCCCTGTAACTTTAAAAATAAAGTAAAGAGACAAATACAGGATGAAATAGTGCCCATAAAGGAAGAAACAGATTCAATAGCTGAACAGGATGAGGAAGATGAACAGGTAGTAGTTCAACAAAGTCCTCCTGTAAGCCCTGTAATTCCCAGAAGAACTACACGTGTATCTAGACCGCCTGATAGGTACCAGGCTAACACAGTGTGCCAGATTAATCAAGTTCCTAATTCTGTAGAAGAAATTAAAAAGTATCCTACTAAGGAAAAAGAAAGATGGTATGCAGCAATGAATAAGGAACTGAATTCATTAAAAAAAAAAAAAGTGTATGAAAATGCCAAATTACCTGTAGGTAAGAAATCCATTGGCTGCAAATGGATTTTTAAGGTAAAAACAGATAAAGATGGTAATTTAATCCATAAGGCAAGGTTAGTAGCCCAAGGTTTTAGGCAGAATGCTAATGACTACGATGAGGTGTTTGCACCTAGTCTTAAGGCAGCAACCTTGAGGGCAGCTTTAGTGTGGGCAGCTAGTAAAAACTATATAGTTAACCATCTAGATGTGGAAACTGCTTACTTGC